GGGGGGGGGGGGGGGGGGGGGGGGGGGGGGGGGGGGGGGGGGGGGGCTTGGGAAAAAGAAAAAAGGCAAGGAGAGTGACACACCTCTCTTCCTTCTTTACCTCTCAACTTCCCTTCACATGAGGGGAACAATATGAGAAAAGGAGTGCTGGAGCAAAGACAAAACAAACAATCCTGGAGTGCTCATTCCTCTCCAAGGAGGAGGTCAGCAGGAGGAGATGATATACGTGTCCTCCTCCCTCTCTACCTGGCCTCCTCCCTCCTGTCCTCCCTCTTGGTGCGAATGGATTGAGAGCCGTCAGTGGGCTGCTGGACCCAGTTGTTATCGTGAAGCCCGACGCGGCAGCCCGGCGTGTCCTTGTCCGTCCGCCGGCAGCACATCCAGTAGGAACGTCCATAAGGCAGGTCGTGGTGGTAAGGTTTGGGGTGCCAACGGCACAGGGAGACATCCCCGCGCTCGTATTGCCGCTTGCACTGCTTGCAAGGGTCGTCCTTGTAGAGAGGGTCTTGATTCCAGCGCGAGTCCACCGCCCGCACCCCGTACGTCTCGATCAACGCCTTGAAGTAGTGGCAAGTGCATTTGAGGGCCGCCAGCGAGCGCGTCGGCAGGTAGCTGAAGATGTTGACCATGATGTGGTCGGGGAGCAGCAGCATGTACTGGCGCGGCTCGAGGAGGCGCTGAATCTGGAAGCGGATCTCCAGAAAGTCGTGGGACACGTGGCGGTAGAGGCGACACAGCGAGGGGTCCGAACAGTCCTCCCCAACGCTGGGAGAATCCGGTCGGGTCGCCCGCTCCCCTGAGCCCACCGCCACCCCGGGGCCATTGTTGTTGGCACAGTCCAAAGAGCAAATACCTGACCCGCTGCCAATGCCCGTTCCTTTTACATCCTCCTCTGGGCCCCGTGGGGGCTGAAGGAAGAAGAGTTGTCCAGGAGGGGGATCATCGGATGAGGGGTCACTAGAGCTGCCCCCACTCCCTCCCCCCCCACTCGACATAGCGAAGCACACCGTCTCCTCCTGCACATTCTCTGTACTGTCCTTGCCATAAAACACACATTGATCCACAGCACCCGTCACTACCACCTCCACGTGGAAGCCGGTCACCCGCTCCCTCCCCACACCCCCGGCTTTCTTCTCCTCCTGGGTCGGGTCTGGGCTGCCACAGGCCTGCCTGTCTGGGTGATGGAGGTCTCCATCTGGTTTGGGGGCAGCAGTTGTGGCGGCAAGCAGCAGACTACCGGGGTCTCTAGATGAGGGGCTGACTAGCTGGTAGAGGTCACAGGTGATTTTCTCTTTGGCCCTGGCCGCCGCCTGGTTGCCCCCACCGCCACAGCTCATAAACATACAGCGGGACCTGCCAGCTGGCTCCAGCTGAGACCGTGGATCCAGATTCGACACTCGGAAAGCTATTCTAACCTCACCATGGCTGTGGCTGGGGGGCGGAGGAGGGGCTGCAACGCCGGACTCCCCGCCTCTCCTTCGCTCCCTTTCTCTGTCTCGATTAGCAGAGTCTGTTCCAGGACCGGCGTCCAGATGAAACTGGTTCTCTTGGTTCTGGGACTCAAAGTGCGCTATGGCCTGGGCTACCCTCAATGACTCCTGCTGCTCCTCCAGCTCCTGGTCCGTTTGGATAGGAGATGACAACTCCCGGGTCTCTTTGGAGGGCTGGCCATTTGAACTGTCTGACACGAACACGACAGGAGTGGGGTCCGACACCGTGCCCCGGAGGAGAGTGTGCTGGTGCGTGGTAAGGCCCTGACTGTGAGTGGTGTTCGGGGCCTCGTGGTGGTGTTGAGTCCCGTGGACCGCCACGATGCCCTGGAGGGCCATGGCAGTCCTCTGCTCAACCAAGGCAACCATCTCAGCCACCGACAGCAAGTCCGTCTCAGTCACCCCTCCTAGAGGAGGTTCATCAGAGCTAGGAGGCGAAAGTGAGGAGTCGTGGCTGAGGCTCGGCTCCGAGGCTTGGGAGCGCGTTTGAGGGTCATAGGATGAGCATCGTCTTCGTCTTTTGGCTTTACTGCAGTCAGTTGCCCAGTTACCTTTGACCTTTGGAGAAGCAAAAAAATTCATATTTAGTTTTTCAAAAAATAAACTAATTGAACTAAAAGCTCTTAAAAACAACAGCTTTTTTAGTTTCAGCTCTTTACCTTCATGGCGCTCGGTCTGGGCTGGCCTGCTCCACTGAACTGGTGTGCAACAAAGAAGGCTATCTTCTCCTTGGTGTTGCCCGGCTTAATGACGTACCAGGTGTCTAACAGCACGCGGCCATCTTCCATCTGGGACCCGGAGGAGGGTGGCGAGGGAGGTGCTGAAGAAGGTGGAGGTGCTTGGCTCTGTGAGCTGGGGACAAGCTCAGGTTCGGGCGGAGTGTTCTCTGAGCCCACATCCTCCTCTTCTCCGTTCGCCTCCTGCACACCCACTATCATCCCTCCATCTTCACTTCCATCCACAGTCCTTCTGGCACCCGGAGAGGGCTCGGCCTTGCAGAGGGAGGGGGACCCCAACCCGCCGCCGCCGCCACCTCCGCCGCCGCTGCCCCCTGAGCCCGGGCTCCTGGCTTTGTTCTGGGAGTAGGTGCCAAAGGGGCGTGGGCACCACAGGCGGATGTGGGAGAAGGTGTCTCGGTCCATCAGGATGCGGACCACCGGGGCATATCGGCATCTATGCTGGCCAGCAAACACCCAGAACCAGAGCTCTCATTCTCAGCTCCCTTGTCCCAGTGCCAACCTGATGGGCACTGCCTGTCACCAGGGCCACCAGCAACACCGGGCATACAACCTGCATCAATAGGAAAGGGAGAGATGAGAGGAAAGGGTGGGGTACAGCCGGGGGAGGGAGGGAGGAATGACAGAAGAGAGAAAAAACGGCCCTGTGAAAACAGAGTTTGTATTTCTAGGGCAACAAAGCTCGTCAGCGCCGGGATCAGTTCAGATAATCGTTGACCAATTGAGGCAGTATCGAGTCGTAGCCTCCAGGTACAACTCAAACAGGGTGTTAACGCTGTACACCGGCAGCCCAGCCCAACTATCATCATACTAACTGAACTTATCACAACCGGCCTGCCTCCTACTTTGCCCAAACTCAATTAGCGATTACATTTGTTACCGTCTACTATGATCATCTCCCCGCTTTGGAGCCTCTAAATTAAATTAAAAGGATTCCATTTCAGGTTTTGGTGTCTGCGGCCGGCAGATGAAAGGGATGAGAGATGGAACACAAAAGCTCCAAATGGACTCCCCCCCCTCTCCCTCTCTCTCTCTTCTCCTGCATCTCAGTGCTTCAAAGAGGACTTGCTTAATAGGAGGCAACACAGGGAGGAGCACACAGGCATATGCTGGATCTATTTTTAGCAAACGGCAGGAGGGGGTGGGTAGTAGCTGTCCTGCCTGTCCTCACCCCTTTCTCCCAGCCAAAGAGCCTATGCTACAGGCTTGGGGGGGGGACTTTATTCCAACCACCATGCTTCGGTGCAGCTATGCCAGCTGTAGGGGCTGCCAGGAAGGTGCCAGCGTACTTAAGAAGAGGAACAAAGTGGCAACCGACATTGTTGGCTCACTGCTCATCTGAAGGCATCCTCTGCTTCCCAGAACAGCTTGAACCCACGATTCAGTCCTGAGCCGCTACCTTTAAGTTTACCATTTACACATTAGTCTACATGTTTAAACCGGCTCTTAAATTTGCAATTTGCCACTTAAGATAAGTGGCAAATTGGTCACTTTATACCGTAGTTCTAATGGTGCAGACAGAAGCCAAAAAAGACACTATTGACTTTACTAAAGAGATATGATGGCATGAATGATGAGATAATTAAACTCACTCATCAGTCAATATACAACACCCTGATTATACCAACCGCATATATGCATACACCACCACAAGTCACCCTCAAGTAGTTCAATATAAATTATGTTTCCCCCGGTCGCAATAAGCTATTTGGTATCTTTTGTTTAGTGTCAGACCGCATGTTGAGAAGCACGACATCCAGACGAAGCATATCATCTGATAAAGGTTAGATTAGTATTTGATTTGAATTTATTCAACCCTATATTGACCAAAATAAGCAACTAAAAGAATGTGTCACTGCTCAACAGCTTGTCCTTTACTTTCATTAACAACAAACTATTCATTCCCATCTCTTCTTCCTGTTCTATCTTTCTTCACCTCCACAGTTCCAGACATGCAGTCCGCTCCATGTATCTTGGAGGAACTTGTCCTCTTACACAGTGTTCATTTTTCAGATTGCCTGTTAAATCTCGGGGTGTGGCAGCAGCCACTTGACAGAAGTTGTCTGCATTATTGGCAGGTAACCAACCATTAGGACGGGCTCAGCTCGGTGTAGTACTGCTAAACAGCAACAGCCTAAAATGAGATTGGCTTCACACAAACATCCCCAGGTGTTGCAGCTACGGAGGAACAGGGTGTGTTTTATTGGTCAATACAAGCTGGTTCTGCAGCACTTGAAAATATTTCTTTCTGTTGCATAACACAAAGTTAATTAAAGAGCTTATTTCGCACAAAAATAAAGGTTGATGTATTTGTTTAAGACTAGTTTGCCTGCTTTCCATGTCAGCCACCTGACTCCTTCAATCCACAGGCTTTAAAAACAGGTCATTGTTGTGCTTCTCTGCCCCACACACACACTCACACTCACACATTGAATGGGTGGTGCTTTGTGCATTTGGACTAATGGAATGGCTCAGAGAGGTGCAAAAAGCAAACACCGCCCACACGGAGTGGTGGACCAATTCAAATGCTTCCTCTGTAATCACACGGCAACGACTCGGCTAAGAGGCAGATTATACTGCTGCTGGTGAACCTTTTTTACTGCCCTTTCTCTGCGTGTTCCCTTATGACTCTCTTTAACCACTTTCTCTATCTCCTCTCCCTTCCCTCCTCCATCTCTCTACATCGTGCCATCCATCACTCATATAACAGATTGGAGGGAATTAAATGAGGGGCCAGAAGAGAGACGGCCTGCCCACTGCAGTGCTTCAGTACAACGTGTCACTCACTCACTCACTCACACTCTCTCACACACACACACGATCTGAATCGTTCTCACTTTCCTGTGATTTTAGGATGTTCGAGAGAGACGCTATGTCCACTCCTGACTAGAGCAGAGCAGATACATGTGAACACGATGTTTACATCTAAACTCCACAACACTGGCGTTTTTTGGATTGGCCTTCATCTATACTGATCCATCTTCCTCCATGGGTTAGCAAACAGCAAAACACACAGTTTAAAACAATGACAACACGTCTAATGTTTGATCGGCTTCACCGATAATACACGAGAGCGATCACAGACTTGATGACAACCTCTTAAAATTACTGCTACACTGACATCACCCAAGCCTCTCTGTGCACGGACCAAAAGCTGCTCTTCAAAATATGCTTCTTGTTAACAGAAACAATGCCAACTATTAAAGACTTAACATACATTATCTCACATACAGATACATCTGGAGTGTCTTCTATCATTCAGTACTCCCCGAACAGTCGGTTTAAGTTGGTGCTGAGCTATCTTAACTTTCTTTCCCCCCCCTCTTAATTTGAAACATTTTCTGCAAATGAAGGCTTGGGTTTGGTTTTAAGCTTTCTGCATCCACCTAATCCTTCAAATCCTGTCCAAGCACAGTGGCAGCCAGCGACACCACAGCAGCACCGCAGCACCAGAGACGGCTTCGTTAGGTTGCCAAGCCGTCTGACAAATTAACGAGAATAATGCTTTTCCGTATGCGTCACTTAACGTTTAACTATTTCCATACATAGAGAGCGTTGTGGGTCTAAATGTCGGCAGCAGGTAGGACACGTGAACTTGGATCACACTAGCTACTGAACCACAGTATACAGTGATGGTGCTACTAAGCTTTTATAACAGATGGTATAATAAATAAGTCTAATCATGCTATGGATTTATCGGTTTAAAATGAAGAGCAGTGTTAAGTATACCAGACCAGTCTCATCACCTCTGCCAAATTCTTGTGGATTACTGCTGCAGTCAAAATGTGGAAATCCACACAACACGTGTACACAACTGCAGGTACTGGTCTGTTACTATAAGTTACTATCCTGCTGTTTGCATGGTGAAATATTGAGAGGTTTGTCCCACTACATTAAAACTAGATTTCTGTTTGACTGGGTCATTTCCCTGTACAAATCAAAACCAGTTTGTCATGCACTCTCTCACCAGGGTACTGGTTTCACTGTGGTAGGTCTCTGCAGTTCAGAACATAGAATGTACCACATTCCCATTAAAAAGCTAATTTAAGATTTAACAAGTCGGATTGGCAAAAGGGAGCACCAATTTCGAAGCTTGTTGCTTAAAAGTTTGTGTTGATTTACCTTTAACCTATCAGCTCAAAACACACCGCATCACTCCAGCTCGGCCCACGCATACTATCCTGCAGCTCTCCTGCACTAGACGGCCAAAAGCTGACCAACGATGATACAGAAGCATGCCAAAACGTCTCAGCTCAAATCTCCCTCTCTGGGTGTGCGCCTGCAAAGACAATGCAACAGAAAGCACAGCCAGCAGGCCAACTGTCAACAGAACAATAGGGCCGAGTGCATCAAGCCAGTCTGCTCAGGAACTTCATTACATCGAGGAGACACCTAGGAAGAGGGGCTGATGTGGCCCTGCAGGGCTGTCTGAGTGTTTGTGTGAGCATCTGTAACATTGTCACCAGTAAGATTTTGATGCAAGGAGGGCAAGTCATGCGTCGTCTAACAACATCACACCAGATAGAATAGACTACTTCAATTCACACCCAACGAAACTGGTTATTTAAATTGTATAGCAATGACAACGTGAGATCTTATGCTGCTGTCCCAACAACAGATCTTACTCTAGACACAATCACCTTAGCTTATATCTCCTTGTAACTCACGCTGCGTTGTGCAATACAATAAACGAGTTTATTCACATATGCATAATCAAAAAACACTTAATATTATGGTCAGCGTCACTCAACACATGTTATGTTTACTAGGATTCAAACGTCCTCCGCCTGCAGGTCACTTGACCATTTACTCTTCTACTTATAATCCTACAAACACCGGCTGAAATAAAAGCAACTTCTCCACTACCAACCAACATGTGTGGAGTCACAAACGCACACAGAAAGATAATAATAGCAACAATACTCTGATTGTTCATCTTAATTGTCACATTTTGACTGTGTGATGGGACGTCTCTGATCAACCACTGGCTAGTTACCCAACTAGCAAACAGTTAGCTTAAGGTCTTAGTAAATACTTTATCAGTATATTAATATTTAACAGTAACTAGACCCCAATCAATAGGCTTCTGGACACTTTAATGAGTTATTAATGGGTTGTTGCACACAGTAAATAGAGCCGTCCAGCCAACTGGATAGCACAACTTACCTGCATAATAACATGACAGGGCTAGCTAGCAAGCTAACAATATATCTTATATAGATATATAAAGCTCTTGTGTTTAGCTGACCTCACGTTACTCACCTTAACAGCGTTAATCTCCAAAGACACCCGTATTGACTTGGTCGATGACAAAGTGTTTCCTCGTAGTATTTCCCTCTTAACCCAAAAAAACAGTTTGTCTGGTGAAACGCAGGTGACACGAGTTAACTATCCGTGTCCACGTAGCTAAGCTAAGCTAGCTCGCTGGCTAACGGTCGACATTAGCATCAGCAGCTACTTTCTATTATCGACCGTGTTCCAGTGACGCTCGTTGTCAGCTCTCTGGACAAAGTGTGGCTGACTGTGCGCCTTGTTGGGACTCTGGGCGGCCGCTCTGCCGCTATCTATTTAGAAGAGACACGCAGCTTTTTACGGTATGTTCTCGGGATACCAAAATAATCAGTGTCAAAACGGCAGGAGGAGGAGGAAGGCCATCTTGTTGACAAGCAGCTGCATAAGGCCCACAGCCAATAGCAGCGCAGAGTCGGTGGTGTGCCCATATATGGTGTGTGCACATCTCCCTCCCTCTGCTGCAGACACATATACACACGCACACACTTACACACACCTAAACACACACACTCACACGCACGCACACATAAACACAAACGCACACACTTACACACACGCACTCACTCACGCACACGCACACACACACGCACACACTCACACGCACACACTTACACACATCTAAACACACACACTCACACACAACTACACGCACACACTCACTCACTCACTCACATACGCACACACTCACACACACACAAACACACACACTATCACACGCCTACACGTAAACACACACACACTCACAAACACTCACACACACACACACACACACACACACTCACACACACAAACCCACACACACGCACACTCTCACACACATACACACGCACACGCACGCCTACACTAAAAGGTCACTGTGTCAAAGACAGGTGGGAAAATCCACACACACATAAGGCATATTTACTATCATACTACTCTAATATTAATACAACATAATGCACAACATGCTCTCTGAGTAGAACCATTCTCCATCTATTACATATAAACTAGATGTTTGTATAATAACATTTCATCAACAGTATTTTGTTCTCCATATTTTGACCAGATGATATAAACATGAGTCATCATTTCATCACGTAGGCCAACGCTGATTGGCCTTTCGCTTTATAGTTATTTGCCATCTTAATATATTTTTATTACTCAGTGGATATTATTAACAATGTTGTGTTCTCTTATTTTAATTATATACACATTTTATCTACACAGTATGTTTCTAGTTTGCCAACAGGGATCATTAAAGTTTCATCTTTTCTTTGAAAACCTTTTGGGTGCCTGAGTGTTAGAAATGAAACACAGAGGAAACTTTACACACACACACACACACACACACACACACACTCACACACACACACACACACACACACACACACACACACACACACACACACACACACACACTATAGAATGGTGATATATATACAGTGGTGGAGAAATACAGCATGCGTGTTAGTGGTCAGTATGTTGTTCACATGTTTGTGTTTCAGGCAGAAAAAAAGCAGCATCTTCAGAGTCCAGCAGAGTCACCATCAAAGTACTTAATCTGTAGTATTACACTTATATTAGTAATGGAGTACTGGAGTCACTGATTAGTGGTGAAGAAGAAGATGGATGAGCTACTACAGATAATCATGAGGAAAAAAAACAGGTCTGTTTTAAGGAACAAAGTATTTAAAAAGACTTCCATCCATTAGTCTGTAGGGCAATTTAATTATTATTTGTCACTTTTCTGTAGAATCATATTGTGATTATATGATGACGTCATTTTATTGTTTAAGAAATTACTGTTTTCTGTCATATTTAATTATACCAAGCAAGTTGTACTTAATACCATATGTTTTTATTTGTTTTTATATTTGTATACACATATCTAATTTGGTATCAAATAAAAAGCTATCCTGACTATTCTTTCAAAACGAGGATGATTAGAAATTAAGAAAAGAAATAATCTAAAATCTAAAGTACGATTTTGATATAAATTGTACTTTTTGCTCTGAAACTGTGCCTGATGTTTTCTGGATTTTGTTTGTACTCCAAAGAATTATAGGAAGATGTTTCAAATTTAAATTATCGGTGTCTTGTACAAATATTTTGCATTGTATTACGAACATGTTATTTTTGTTTTGTATATGACAGAAAGTTTGAGGCAAGGGCATATATGATACATCTATTGATTATTCTCACCAAATTCTTTATTCGCAAGTGGAATTTTACAAGACAAAGACCCCTTTTTAGTGTTTTTATAAAGATTTTTAACTTTACATAAAAATCTATTAAATGCTGAACCAACAAAGAGGCCATGAAAGACTGTAAGGCATGTGTTACCTGTGAAGTATGTAGATAATTAATTAGAATTTGTGCCTTATATATATATTCTTTTTATGTACTTCATTTATGTTTTTATTATTTTTTTATTTTATTTTGTAAGTGTTTATTTCTGTCTATTTTACTTATTTATTGCGAGTTAACCCCCTGGCTCTTCAGTTTGAATGTCAGCATTTTACTCTGTCTCTTATTGCCATGTTGTGAAACACTACATGTGCACTTTGTAAAAAAAAAAAAAAAATCCCTTAATTCTCATTCGACGTTGTTCCATTTAAAGCCCGCCTCATGTTGACTGTGATTGGCCGAACACTGACACAACATGTCGTGATCTGCCCTGCTATTGGTTAAAAGAATATATCTCTCCTCCCTTCACATCTGGGTTCGGCCTACTTGCTAAAAACTCGGATTGTGGTTGGTTCCCAGTCAAATCATCAAATTTGAACTTCCGGTTAGTGAAAACGTTGCAAAACAGTCCCGACGGTAGTGGAGCAGGACAGTCACCAAGGAAAACCTGGATAACACAGCTTCAGGAAAAGTGAGTCACTTCATTTGTAAAGAGCAGAATGTTTCATGCAATTAGTTGTGTATATATATATTTCATGTGGCAGAATAAACCTTGTTTATAAATGTCAGCAGCTACTGACGCTACACAACATTGTAGACACCGACTATACATCAGCTATAGCTAATAAGCTAGTTAACGTAGCCTAAAAAAAGGGTAATTGCTGTCCTTAACGCTGTAAATATGTTGTGCATTTGTGTTTTACTAGACTGCAGGTGACTCGTGCACCGTACTGTAGTGGGCACGTGTTCATGAAATTAGCATGTCTTGAAACATGTGTAGCCAATCACGTCCAAGGTTAAACATAACGGAACATGTGGTTGTCCCAATGTTCTTTACATCGTTGTGTGTTACATCATTTTTAATTTAATGTCACTCAACATGTTACACAACTTGACTCTCTTTGTCTCTCTCTCTGTGTCTCTGTCTCTCCCACTCTGTCTCTCTGTTTGTCTCTCTCTCTCTCTCTCTACCCCCCCCTTTTTTACAGTGATGCTATCAGAGGTGATGCAGGTGCTGCGTGGGGCAGGTAAAGTGGGCTCCGCCCTGGTTTGCTCTCAGGGAGAACATCTCAAATTTATGGCCTGCAACTCCACCGTGGGAGCGGGAGTCAAAGTGGCTCAGGATGCGGTGGAGGGACTGGTGGGCAACTTCAGTGGCGGCAGCACTGCGGTGAGGATCCCTGCATAGACTCATGATGGGCATTTCATATAATGCATACAGTTTGATGCAGCCCAAGTTAGTAATTATTTGGCAAAATTACTTGTCCCAACAGTCAACAAAGGAGGACGTGTTTCCGGACGCAGAGGGTTGGGAAAATGTGGACCCCGATGAAGCAGCCAAATGGGCCACGGGGACCGAGTTCCCCTCTGATGCTCCAGAGCAAAACCAGACGGAAGCTGGAGCCGCAGCAGAGACGCCGACAGGTATGTGACATGTACACTTAGTATGTGGCACTAAAAGTTTAGTTTTTTTGTCTAAGAATATTTTGTTGTTTGTTTTCAAGCATTGAAATTATAGAAAAGATTGTTTTATATAATGTTGCGAGGTTTCACAACAATAAATACATCCAAAATTAAGTACAAAATATGCTTTATTTTTCATTTTTAGAAAACGTATTTCTGTCATCAAAGCATCTTCAGGGCTTGTAAAAGAAAGGGAATAATGGAAACCTCATAGCATTCATCCAATGTGAATGTATCCTCATTATTTACACTCTGAGTGCTACTTTTTTGACAGTATTTTGCCTTTGAATATTCAAGTTCTTGAAAAAACTGGAGAGCATGATATTTTTGTTCTTGTCCGTCAACTAGTCTGACGTTCAGACTGATACAATAAGACTTTAAAAGAGTCAGATTTCGGTTCTTTCTACTGTAGGAGTTCCTCCTTCCCCGGAGGCAGCTCCTGCCGGGACAGGCTGGCCGGGACAGAGCACTCGCTTCCTCCACACGACCCCCCGGTTTAACCGGTACTACTGCCAGACCAGGTCTGTCCACGACACGGTGGTGGCGAGACTCAACCCAGAGGACATCAAGAAGGCCAGGGAGGCCAAGAAGGCTCTGGTCAAACCTGTCAGACAGAAGGTGGGTTTAGATTGACTTTTAAAAAAGCAATGTGAGCTGTTGCAGATTATGAATATTCTCTATGAAGCAGTTTATGCTGTAAAGAGAGAACATTTATGTTTTATCTTAATTTGTGTGTTTAATCTTTCTGGGGTTATTTTGATGAACTAGTATCTAAAGAGACGGATCCTGTATCGAGGAGACATTCAAACATTTGATCTTGTCATGTGAGTGATTGTTCAGATAGATGACTGAGGTAGAAGCAATACGCAGAATACGTTTTTTAAATATGCTCTGGTATGTTTTCTCTCAGCTGAGTGACCGTGCCAGAGAGAGCAAGGTTCCCGCCACAAGAATCAGCAGGCTGGTTAATTTTGGGGGTAAGAACAATACACTTTTTCATTCGTTTTTCAGTTGTTGCACGTATCATATTTTGCAAAGAGAGAATGTATATAGCTTATGAAACACACAAGTGTTGTTTCAGCTAACTGCTGAAACAACAGCAGTTAGCTGTTCCCTACTGATTCAAACAGAGAATCAAATGTCCGAAATAACCCCGCGATGACGGGATGCTTCGTTATTAACGGACAAGTCAGAATCAATGTAATTAACACAACCAGAACCAGTCACATAAAATGTCAAGTATGACAAATCAGTCCAGCAACACTGCGGCGCTAGAGCAGGAGCCATTCATATTATTCATAAAAATGACACGATAGACAAATTAACAGTTACTGCAGATGTAAAAAAAAAAACGCAGTTTGTCACTTACCGAATGCTGTTCACTTAATGCTCCTTTCTTTGTCGACAAAGAGTTTAATCTCAGTACATCGTTTCAGTTCCAGTAAGAAGTCCTTCTCATTCATGGACCAATCGACCGCGACCGGCCGGCGTGAAAGCGCGAAAGCCGGCCGGCGTGGCCGGCGCGACCGGATGGAAAGAAAAGTGCCTCTGCACATTAGATAATGCTCCCATAAACATTTATTTGATGCAATGCAGAGACGCACCTACAAATACATCGGAGGACGGGTCACCTGGTCCGAAGAGGCTCCCTGAGATACAATAATGATATAAATACATCGTATACAAATGCACATCTGTGCTGAGTACGTAGTGAACATGGTCTCTATGTGACTGCATATATAAACACACTCATGCATAGTGAGATGGTGAAGAATTCAATCAATAAGAAAACCACAAGATGTGTACAACTTAAATACCACCAGACTTAAGCGTCTGGTTTAAACCATCATAAACATTATGATGTCTTCCAGATGTGCGTGCTTTTGTGATTAATACTAATGCTCTGTAAAAATGATACTTTAAGATTGAAATGTTTACTGTTATTAGTTCATGAGTGAACTAATACTGTTTTTGCAGTATTTCTGAAATGTCAGACTTTTTAGATATCGGACATGAAATATGATTTCACTCTTCAACTATGTGTCGATTCAGCGCTTCCCTCAAGCAATCTGTTAAGTGGCCCCTAAATGAAATACTCTCTCGTTGTCTCCGTGCTGCAGGACTGGCAGTAGGACTCGGGATCGGTGCCATCGCAGAAATGGCAAAACAGTCATTGGCAGGCAAACCCAAACGAGGTAAAGACATTGTTCTGTCCTCCCGTCCTGTGAAGGAGCGTGCGGTCCGGTGCACGCTCGGCAGACCCAGCAGACGGATGGACAGCTGCTCGGCCCTGGAGAAGGTTCTCATGTGTCAGCACCTGCCAGGGTCTGGACAGGCATTACATCAAAAGCTGTTAACAAGGACTTGAAGACAGGCTTTAATATGTGTTAAATGAACAGTGTCTAATGGCCGCTGCCCGCGTTTGTTACAAGGCGGGAGCGTAATCTTTAACATGGAGCACTTTGAAGACGCTTTCGAGGACAAATTACTCTTGTTGCTCTTCATGCTATTGTTGTGCTTTATATCACTGCTAATAATCCTGTGTCTTCTGATCTGTCTTGTAGATGAGAGTGCTTTGTTAGACTCTCCTCTCCTGTCGGAGGCCAATGCCGAGAGAATAGTCAACACGCTGTGTAAGGTCCGTGGGGCTGCACTCAAGATCGGACAGATGTTCAGCATTCAAGGTACACGTCGAACGGTGGTCAGATGTCTTCGCAGTCTCGGAGCATTTCTGATATCTTCTCATAATTCCTTCTTCAGACAACAACTTCATCAACCCTCAGCTGCAGAAGATCTTTGAGAGGGTCCGGCAGAGCGCCGACTTCATGCCGTCCTGGCAGATGAACGTAAGCATGAACGCTCCCTAACACCTAAGCATGAACGCTCCCTAACACCTAAGCATGAACGCTCCCTAACACCTAAGCTTGGTTTATACTCTCTTAGTTGTGCACCTCTGAGGTTTTCAGACACGACTGTCCCAAATAGCTCACTGATAAAAAGATGCTTACATTTGTGATTTTACAAAGACAGACAATTCGTTTTTATTCGCTTTAGAAACAGGAAGTCTTAAAGAGCTTCATTTGAGTAAATATTTTGCAGCCAAACCAAATTGTTTTCAGGATATTCAACCTTCGTCTCCTCCCCATACAGGGCCTGTATGAAGGCACTAATGTATGAGAAATGAGTTTACAGTTAATTACAATTCCTCCTGTGTTGTGGAGCTAAAGTGTTGTTCATACAAAAATGACACCCTGATCTGCCTAGTTACAAAAACTCAGAGGTGCACAACCAAGTGGACTTGGTTAATGCTCAGTTAGGGGTTTTATCTTTCTGTCGAGATTGTTCGCATTCATGTTGGAACAAATTTATCAGAAGTTAAATGTCTGACGACGAGGCAACTACAATCTCAAACCGTGTCCGTCTGTCGAGAAAACCTCTGTTTACATATTGTTGAATTTAAAGGAGCCGAGCTCACCGGTAAACATCTGCTTACAAAAGGTAATTTGTGATTTCTTAAGTTATTCAGCAAACATGATTTATTTAACATAACTCGGTATTCATTTCAGCTGAATTTGAAATTAAGAAACGTTCCGAGATGATGCCTGTCTGCCTTAACGATGCAGTTTAAATCTGAGTTCTACTGAAGTGAAACGCAGAGTCTTGCTTTAAAGATGGTTTGACCAAGTATTTATGATTTATGTCTGTTTATGTGAAGTTCAGATACATATTTGTAGAGTTAAAAACTTTTTTTTTTTCTTGTGTAGAAAGTTCTGGAGGAGGAACTGGGGCCCGGCTGGCGGGAGAAGCTAGCGTCCTTTGAAGACAAACCGTTTGCTGCGGCGTCCATCGGCCAGGTTCATCATGGGGTGTTAAAAGACGGGAGAGAGATCGCCATGAAGATCCAGGTATTCATACACACTCGTTATTTCTGTCTCTCTAATAATAACCTTTGTCTGCATTGATTTGTTATCCTGTTATTCCCATATTCCTCCCAGTACCCCGGAGTGGCAGAGAGCATCCACAGTGACATAAACAACCTGATGTCGGTGCTGAAAATGAGCGTGGCCCTGCCAGGAGGTAACAGCGACACCTTATAATTAGTGGTGAAATCCGTGAAGATGTTACAATGTGAAAAACAAATCGGTGTTGAAATTAACAGGAGTAGAGCTAATAACGCTGACCGTGCTGCTAACGGCTAACGTACGGAGGTTCCATTCGGTTACATTATGATGCGTTCAGGGTCTGTTCAGTGAAAATGAGTGAAGGTAGATTATAACGTTATCATGATGTGTTCACTTGTGATCTTGTAGTTCTGGTGAGAAACTTGAATAAATCCCGTTGTTTGAAGGAGATGTTTTCACAGCAACATAAATAGATATTAGAGATGAGCTGTTTAACTTTCTAACACGAGGTGTAAGCAGCTTTATAATCATTAAATCATAATCATTTAAACTGTGGGATTTATGGAAATAACCACTATAGATGACTACAACAAAGAGTTTAGAGTTTTTGATGGTTTACTGACTTCAGAGTGGTTGAAAGGATTTTTGGTGGTGAAAACAAACAAACAACAAAAATGATCTGTATCGTCCAATACGGATCATCGACGATCGGCAATTGGTAACAAAAAGGTGTGACTGGGAAGTCTCTAAATGTTATATTTGCTCCCTTTTTTCTTTTGTGCTGATCCGACCCGTGACTCAAATCTGTGTTACAATCTGAACCGTGAGTTTTGCGCACCCCATATTATATTTAATTAATAAAACCATATTGAGGCAGCGTGATATTTTAAGATACTGCTGTTGTGCCCCATCATTATATTAGGAGGTGACTGGTGACTATAGATTGTTCTCCCATTGAGTCTCTTCTGTTCCTTCATTCCAGCATTTCCCTGTTTCAGTGTAGACCATGAGGTGGTGCTGTTGTTGGTGAAACGTTACTGAGTGAGGACGTCTGCAGCTGTTACTTGTGTCCTTATTATGTTCAATCCCGTGCTTCTGTCAAAAACATGAAACTATTTATTATAACTAATGATTACACCGTTCTATAGTTATCCAAATGTAATGTACACACCGTCACAGTCCCACAGACACCGTGACACATGTTTCCATGTTCTCTTCAGTTTTCCCTGCTGAGTTTTGCACCGTTTGTTTTTTCCACAGGTCTGTTTGCAGACAACAGCTTAGAGGTTCTTCAGAGGGAGCTGGCGTGGGAGTGCGACTATAAGAGGGAGGCCGAGTGTGCCAAGAAGTTCAGGTGGGTTTATTGAGCCATAAAACCTCTTCCACTGAACCCCACTGGTGAGGCGTTCCACGTCGTTTAACTGCACAGAACACAAACCACATCAAATTAGCCATAAAGATTCAGGAGGGTTACTCTATAATTAGACAGGCCGTTCACTAAATGTTTGCTCCTGCCACTAAACTGCACATAAACTGCTCATAGACTGTATGTAGCTCTGATTTTATTAAAACATCAGAAATTCAAAGCTTTGTATTTCCTTTTCTTCTTATTTTATCACTTATATATTCTTTTGAGAGGTACTTTACTCCTGCTACTATTAGAACCAAATATATTATTATTGTCATATACGGGAGAAGTTTCAGTTGGTTGCAATCTACAACCTCACCACTAGATGTTGCCAAATCCTACGCACTGCACCTTTAATTAATATCTCCCTCTCTCTCTCTTTCTTTCTCTCTTTCTTTCTTTCTTTCTTTCTTTCTTTCTTTCTTTACGGACTGTTTATGTCTGGCCTCCAGGTCCATGCTGGAGGGAAATGAGTACTTCCAAATCCCGAAGGTGATCGATGAGCTGTCAGGCCGCAGAGTGCTGGCCATGGATCTGGTACAAGGAGTCCCACTGGACCGCTGCGTAGACCTGGACCAGGAGACCAGGAACGATGTACGGGGATGAGTCAGCAGGCGTCCCGAGTCTGGGAATGTGTCTAATTCTGTTGGCATATTACAAATGACGACAGCAGGATGTTCTTTTAAAGGAAACATTATCAACTATGTTTGTATTAGGTGGTAAAGCTCAATTTAATTTTCAGCAAACCAGGAATTATAAACCACTTTAAAGTAATACAAGTGCTGGAATCTATTTATCTTCATCTATTTATGGAAAGTGAAAGAAGGGTCATGGAGTTTGGCATAAGGCAGACGCTAACAGGCGGATTGAACATCACAGTCTGGACTTCTAATTGTGGGACCCAATTAGAGCTGAAACCCTCTGACGAGTAGAAGGAGCTGATTATATCGGCCTGTTCCTCCTCTCAGGAGGACATGATGTGACAGGTGCAGCTCCGAGCGGAAGCGTTGCTCATTAACTCATAGAAACAAGTTTCTTGCTCGCATATTGTACAGCAGGACCTCAAACAGCATGAAAAAGACAGCAGCAGCAGCAGCAGCAGCAGCAGCAGTGAAAACTGTCAAAATAAAGCATCTAACAGTTGAGATGAATGCACCTGGAGCATAGCCTACAGTAAGGCAGCATCTTTAGACATGCTGAGAGCTACCGCAGTAGAAATGATACTGATAATAACAGCATGGCTGTGAACACAACCCTCATCTCTCATCTCCAGATCTCTTACAAAATCCTCCAGCTGTGTCTCAGGGAGGTGTTTGAGTTCAGGTTCATGCAGACGGACCCGAACTGGTCCAACTTCTTCTACAACTCAGACACCAACAAGGTGAGGGCGGTGTGGATTTAAAGCTGTGAATGAGTTGTCTTGAGGGATGCCACGTTGACCAAATATTTAACCGGACCAAATGTGTCTTATCTGTAGATCGTTCTGTTGGACTTTGGGGCGTGCAGAGGCTACGAAGAGAAATTCACAGATGACTACATACAGGTATGAAGATGCCCAGCAGTGAACCTCACAACAGGATTCATGCAACAAGATTTCTTTGAATCAAGAAGCACTTTGAGTCAAAATTTGAAGAAAAAAAATGACACATTTCCTCATCATTGTGTGTGTGTGTGTGTGCGTGTGTTCAGGTGGTGCACGCGGCCTCCGTGGGTGATCGAGCCACCGTTCTTTCCAAATCGAAGGATTTGAAATTCCTGACAGGTTTCGAGGCCAAGGTGAGGTATTTTGGTCTCTGCTGCTGTGCTCATTTATTTTTGATATGGTTTATCCTCCTCGGTCGTCTCCATTCATTTGTGTCTCTCTCTACCTCAGTCTCTCTCCCTGTAGTTATAGTGCAGGAGCCTCCTTCTCTACATGTTTGTTGTATCTTTACTAAAGAACTCGTGTTTTTACTTTTTAAATGTGAGGAATGATGTCGGAGTGAGCGCTGCAGCAGGTGTTTCAGTGTTGGCCAAGTGTCCTCTAGTGTGGGTTCTTTCTTGGTGTTTTCCTTCGTATTATGTAGCGCTGGGCCACATATATCAATGTTATATCAATATCTTGTTATGAGACTAGATATCATCTTAGATTTTGGATATCGTAATATAAGGTAAGTAACTTTATTAATCCTGAAGGAAATTCTTGTGCCAGAGCTTCATTAAGATTACAACAGAAGAAAAGCAAAAAATAAATGGAATATAATACAAACATATAAGTATGAACAATAGAATAACAATTATTAAGTGTGAAGATGGCTTAAGTGTCATCTTTTTAAAGGCTGCATTACAGTAAAGTGATGCAATTTTCTGAACTTATCGGACACATTTAATCATAATATCCATATTACTGACGATTATTTACCATAACCCTCATTCTGTAAGTATTTTGTGAAAGTCAAAACTAATAGTCAACCCTACAATTTCGAGGTGTTTGGTCACAAATATCGCTCAGCCCTAGTATTGTTTATAAAATGTAGAGAAAACTACTTGTTATGCATAAATAAACACTATTTATTTGAAGTTGGAGATAAAAATGTGTACATACACCATGGATATAATACACACGTCATCATCTCAGGCTCACTCAGAGTTTACACACTCAAAAAACAGCTTAAAGTCTGTTTCAGTGAGTAAACAAATGTTTACTTTTCTACTCTACAGCTGTCAGCTTCAGTATTGAAACATCAGTTCATTATTCTCACACACACACACACACACACACACACACACACACACACACACATGGCCGTTGTAACGCCTCTCCGTGCTCCCCACCAGGCCTTCGAGGACGCCCACGTGGAGGCCGTGATGATCCTCGGCGAAGCCTTCTCGTCCGTGGAGCCCTTCGACTTCGGCACCCAGAGCACCACCCAGCGCATCCAGAGCCTCCTCCCCATCATGCTGCGCTACCGCCTCACCCCTCCGCCCGAGGAGTCGTACTCCCTCCACCGCAAGATGGCCGGCTCCTTCCTCATCTGCTCCAAGCTGAAGGCGCGCATATCGTGCAGGGACATGTTCCTGGACGTGTACAACGCCTACAACCAGCGGAGGCAGGAGGAGGAGGAGGAGCAGGCGGAGCAGGCGGCCCGGGCCAGTGCGTAGACGCTTCTGGACTTTTTCAGAACGAGAGTAAAGACAGAAAAGATGGAGACTTCATCAATATGTAACTGGCAACGTGCTCTAAAGAGGACCACGACTTTCTATGGTCGGCTCCTTCACGTACAAGATCACTGACATCAGTGTGAGGTCATGAGGATTTGGGCGATCGCGACCCAACGCTGACTCATCGAGGACTGACTTTAAGCTCTCACTGTCCTGTGCAGTGACTCTGACTGAATGTGAGCTGTGCCATAGAAAATATATACTGATGCCCAAAACGGTTATATTACTGATTAAATATGTGAACTGAAGACAGGATTATTTAACTCATTTGGCGTGTTGTGTGTGTTTGATTTTCATGGCCCAATGGTTACACCGCCGTCGCAGATCCTCAAAATGCAAAAAGTACATTTCCTTTGTTTCCTCCCCCTGGTTAGAAAGTATTAATACTTTCACAGCAAAGGTCCACCATGTTACAAGAGAAAACATCTTCTGTCTCAAGGACGCATGATAAGCCCTGCATTGCATATCTGATGCCGCCAAGTGCTCTTTCTGTTTGTGCTAGAAGGACTTTAATGTGCTGCGAAGTTCGTTTTTATCCTGAATGTGAAGCCTGGCAGACGACATGTGATGGTCTAATAGAAACCCGGCGAGTAACGGCCGTGCATTGTAGAGAATATTTGGCATAAATCTCCATAATGTGAAATGCTTTCGGCCCGTTTTTATGGCTTCTTTATGACACAGATGAGTTCTGTAACCAACAAGACGGTGTGCTGTGAGTTTTTCTTTTTTTATAAAATAAAATAATATTTCCCCATTTCACACTCTGAGCTTCACTGGCAGGTGTCAAAGAAGGACTTCCTTCACTCCATTGATCTTTCCATTTCTCTTTTAGACCTCTTTGGGGAATATTGACATGTTTGACCTCGTTCTCCACTCTACGCTGTTCTTCTATCGACCGTCTAACTAAATGTGAGATATGAGCTAATTGTGGCGTTGATGGCTTTATTTATTTTTCACAGAAACTATTTTCATGTCAAGGCAGCGCCGTCTTATTTGGTCCTCAATCGAGCCGTTACTGCCCTGCTCACAGAATGTTGTTCACACCGCAGGAGCTGAGATGTGAGGCTTTCACTGACCTCGTAAAAACCTGATGGAGCCTTTTTTTTTTTTTTTTTTTTTTTTTTTTTTTACTGGATCTCCATTAGTGCAGTTAGTGGCCCTCTGTTGCATCCTGTACAGTACAGCTGCCCAGCACAGTGAGGCTGGCTCTCACCCTTTTAGTTTTTTTTGGGAATCGGCCACAGTTAGTAACTGCAGCACATGTCGAGAGAAGGAGGAAGGAAAAAAGAAAGGAGCATTCTTCTCTTTCAGTTTCACGCAACGGAAAGTTTGAGCCGGTTTCTCTGCATGTCAGAAGCAGCTGGCTGCAGTTTGTTGGAGGAGAGTTGGCTGAACACTGGACTGCTGAGGACGATGATTCCTACCAGGACCAGTTCCTTTATGAGGTTTAATACATGTCCGGAGAATGTTTGTGTTCACGTTATGTTGCTGAATGAAAGGTAGTGACTGTGTGAACATTGAGGGACAGCTGGCCCAGTAGGCTTTAACTGGCTTTTATATATTCCCTGTTATAGTAACCTTTTTTTTCTATGCTTGTTTTTCCATTTTTGTTTTATGACTTTCAGCTGATTTTGTATCGATGTAATATTTATCAGCAGGATTGCAGCCACCATTGTGGACAATTAATGGTCTTTTTTTTGGGGGGGGGGGGCAGATAAAGGCAGATTCCAGTATATACATTTAGACTCCATATCATTCAAGATCCCTGTCAGACATTTTTAAACAAAAATACTAATGATGATGAATCATTTGTGGCTGCTGGACACAAAGACAACCTTCACTGTGAAGTTCATGCGCATATCTATGCTGGAGGTTTCCACGTCACACTTGTATAAATTAGCATACTGGACCCTGATTGGCTTCCAGACTAGTTGTGATGTCACCAAATGCTGCTCGTACATCGACGTGTTGAACTGATTTAAGGAGAGCTCAGAGAAACCGTCTTCTGAAAACAGCTTTCTAGTGTCAAACTCTGCACAGTCAAGCTCAAATATCAAAGATTTAACACAGACTTTAAATTTGACTACTTTCAGGCCAACCAAAAAATAAATAATTTATTCAGCATTTCTCTAATATAATTTTCATTCTTGACCGCGTGTGGAGGGCTCTGACATAAAGTCTGTAATCTGAAATGCCTTTGGTCCTCATGTTGGGAAATAAAAGTGACAGTGAATCTAATTGAAAAGCTAATACAATATAATTCAAACGCTCCATTACATATACTATCATTTTCCAAATGACTCCATTATATTTATATCTTCAAAGTAAAGTGCTATCAAGGCTGAACGCTGCCTTTATTCAACATCCATTATTCAACAGAGTGCATTTAAACAGCATAAACGTCACTGTAATGACCTAAAGGACCTGAGCTCAGGCTCACACTGGCAACCTGACAAAGTGCCCTTCAGCAAGGCAGCGGCTCCCTGGTGCAGCAAGTAGACTTAGTAGTGTACTTAAGTACGATTGTGAGGTACTTTACTACAACGTTTCCATTCTATCCTACTTTACTTCTTTCCACATTTCACCACTCTTCACTATTAATATACACTTGTTTTAACATACTTTGTTTGTTTACCATATACTATAATAAATGTTATACTTGTAGATTATGTCTCTTGCTATTGCACTGTTTATTGTTATGTTATATTATATCAATTAGCCAAATTCCTTGTATGTGTAACGTACTTGGCAACGTAAACCATTTAGGATTCTGACTAGTAACTGTGTCAGAGAATCATAATACATATATAAACATGACATGCTTACTGTGATACTACTACTAATCTGCTCAGTAGCAGACTCGCTGATACAAAGTATACAAAATCGGCCCCACAGTGATGAACTAGTTTATAACATGAAATGCTCTTACATGTTAAAACAGCATATATGACACTTTGAAAGGAGCCATTCTGCATATTGAGGTACTTTAACTTCAGTAACATTTAGAATCCAGGACTTTTATTTGTAACCGAGTACTTTCACACCATTTTATTTGTACTTTTACTTCAGTAAAGGATCATAAAGGCTCTGTAAGCACAATGAGGATTTCCTGACAGGGATGACTGGAGGAACTCATTATCACAGTGCGGCTAAAAGGCCGCACGGTGGCGCAATGGAGCGACAGAAAACAGAGCCCTGTTAGTTTCTTTTCTTTTTTTTCTTCTCTTGGAAAAACATCAATGGGGAGAGCGGATTTGCATGTCCGGCCGCCTGTGCCAATGGGCGCACTGGGAAGGCTGGGTTAACGGGTGGAGCCGGAGGACGCAGCCCAGTAAGTACACAGTCAACAACCAAAGCATCCGAGAGTACTACAGACACACACATCCCACCGAAATCTCCCTTCAATCGCTCTTCTCAACCTTTTTTATTTTTGTAATTGCGCGCGTGTGTGTGTGTGTGTGTGTGTGTGTGTGTGTGTATATATATATATACACATATATATATATATACATATATATATATATATATATGTGTGTGTGTGTGTGTGTGTGCACCAACCAGGTTGATTCGCGGGTCCACATCGCCTCCAACACATCGCTTCCACCGCGCGGATGAAGAAGATTTGGTGAGATTTACCGGATCATTCTCGTTTATCCTGTGAGATATATATAAATATATATATCCTTCTTGGTCCGGGGTCCTGGATTTACCCAGAGGAGGAGCGGGGAGCCGATCATCCGTCGTTGTCTTGGGTGAGTTCACTTCACCCCCCCCCCCCCCCGTCCAACCTGGCATCCCTACATTTACTGACTTTACTGGGTTTATTCTGATGTCTTTATAATGAATGAACCGAGAAAGTGCGCGAGCCACTCTATAATTACATTTTTTTTTTAATCCACGATTTTGTGAGTTAGCGGGGTAATTTATTTCTAAATGTTGTGGGTGCAACTGCAGCGCTCGTGGACACGGATCTCGCCAGTGGGCCCATATGTGCGTGAAATGAATGAAATGTGGCAGCTCCAGCCTTTGATAGCCGTTTACATCCTTAATCCAGAAAGGAGGAGGAAGTATTGTAGCAGCACTCTGGTCGGCTCTCACACTAAACTACCGGCACACAGAAGGTCTCAATGTGAACACAATCTTACGAATATTCAGGAATAATCCAATAATGCCATTTCGATTTTTTAAAAACTGCAACTTTCTAGGTCTAGTATGTTTTATAGCTCCTTAATATGCTCATATATGACACCGATTATTGTAAAGTGGTTACGTCATTATTGGCGTGGGAATGAGATGATGTGACATCGGTTGGTTGGTTGTTGGGTAATTATCGGTTCATGGGGTTTTGCGTGTTTTTTATTATTATTCAGGACAGCATGGCCACCGAAACACGCGCCCCTCAGTTTGAATATGTAAGACCATAATTCTACCTGACTGCGGGATCTCTCTCTCTCTCCGTTGCGTCACTGCTGCCTGGTTAATTGTGTCGTTGTTGGGTTTGATTGCATCATTTAAAAAACTTCTTTCGGGTTTATTCTTTGGTGGGAGGGGGCGGAGTGCTGCCGCTTAATGTGGTAGCTCACACATTTCCTGAACACCAATAGGAGATTCAGAGCACATTAGAGCAGAAATCGAGACTGTGGCTGTAATTAACACACACACACACACACACACACACACACACGCTCACACGCTCACACACTTGGCACATGCCTGCATCTATAGGCCCAGTAAATGCATGCGGCTCTATTGTCTGCGGTGCTCCATCTGTTCCATGACATGGCATTCCTCAGACAGCCAGTCATGCAGTTAGGGGGTGGTCTACCCCGACCCAATGCCTCTGTGTGTGTGTGTGTGTGTGTGTGTGTGTGTGTGTGAGAGAGAGAGAGTCACATGGGGTGTATTAAGAGAGTAAGTGCAGTGCTCAGGGTGTATCAGCCCACAAGCCCTAGACCACCTGCATAGACTGCTCCTGGGTCAGGCTGAAGGGCCTGGTTTGGCTCAGGATTCGGTCATTTAAAGCACTGCATTTGGCCTGAGATTAGGCCGGAGGATGACGCGGTTTGGTCTGGAGTATGTATGAGCCACGTTAAGGCTAGGTTTTGTCTAGAGCTGGGTCTAGAGGAAGGCCAGAGTTGGTCCAGAGCTGTGGCTTTGGCTCGATTTGAGCTAAAAGCTGTGGCCAGAGGGCAGTTCAATTTGGCCTGGAACGTGAGCTACATTAGGCTAGTTTAAAGCTATGACTGGGGCTATAGTTAGGGCTCGAGGGGGCTAAATTTGTGGGGCTAGATGAAGGCTAAATTTGGTCCTGAACTGGGGCTAGAGAAAAGCTAGACTTGGACTCAAGCAGGGGTTAGAAGAGAGAGGTGCCAAACCAAGGGGCTGCTGGATATAAATTGCTCTGATGTAGCTAATCACTGTTGCAACTCAGTCGTCACAACTGGAGCATAATTACACCACCCCCATCCAAACAGCAGTACACACACACACACACACACACACACACACACACACACACACACACACACAAATGCACACATATACACACTATCCATTTCCCCTCAGACCACTTGCCCTCTTCCACTGCTCTGATTGCTGCATGAGGTATTGGCTGTCTTTTGTTGTCCACACACACACACACACACACACACAAGGGGGAGGGGGCTGGTGCAGCTGAGACCACAATACAGCAGGGATCAGAGGTCATCCAGCTGGCCAATCAGGGGGCTGTCTGGGTGTGCTGGTGGCGGAGCAGGGCGTGCCCCCCCCCCCCCCTTTGTGCTGGTCAGGGTGGGTCTGCTAAACAAGCGGTTCCACTTCCAGCCCCCGGCCCTGCTACTGCCGGCGGCCACATTGTGCTTCCTCAGAGCCAGTCACAGCAACCTCCGGACACTTTAATAGAGTGCAGGTCAGGGGCCGGTCCAGTTAGGAGGAAGAGGAAGTCTCCTTCTCTGGCTCACAAAGAGAGTCCAAGCACAAAAAGTGTAAGACATGCACCGAGGTGGATTCTCTGTGACGACCACCATGTTGCATGTTGGATGGCGATGAGTGTTTAGAGGATTCACGGTGTTCCCCTTGTAAAATGTGTGCGCGTGGGCGTTAATGAGTGAAACCAAACCCTGCAACCAAAAAAACCAACTAAATTGACTACAGAGTTCTTTTTCTGGCGGTAGGCTTAATTAAAGAAACAGAAATACGATAATGAGATTTAAAGTGAAGACGGTGAAGAGATGAGGGACTGAAAGAGATAGAGTGGTGGAAAAATGAAGACAGCAAGGTGCTGAGGAGGAGAGAGGGAGACAATACAACAGAGAGGAAGAAGAAGAAGAGGTAAAGAGAGAGTTGTGGGTGTAAAAAGAACAAGAGAGACGAGGGAGAGCGAAACGTGTAAATCAGCCAACGGGGACACTAGAAACCATTTGTTCCCTGGTCGCTGGCTTTCCATTTGTGGTAGAAACAGCTCTGCTCATTGGACGTCATCACGTCAGTCTGCACAGAAGATGTACTTTCCATCTAAAATCCACACGTCATCCTCACTTTCTCTCTCTCTCTCACATACTTCCAACTCTGCTGTCTGACTAAGTGCCTCCAGTATGTGCTGAGTGGAGTTATCTGATTTCTACAGGCTAGTTAAATGCAACCACTCCCCCCCCCCCACACACACATACAGTTCCATTACTGCACAGGCTAATGGCATGCTCATGGTGCAAAGACACAGGCCCATTGTTCTGTTTGTGTGCATTGGATCCGCGCTTAATGCCGTGCGTTGTGTTGATCCGGATTGATAAACGATTGGAGCGATGGATTTGAATTCCTGTCAAGTGGACACTCATGTGTGAAGGCTGCGGTTTGTGTTTTTCTCTGTTTGACAATGTGTGTGTGTGTGTGTGTGTGTTTCCCCGGCGATCAGCAGTTTATTTCTTTGCTTCAGTGACGTTTCTCTCTGCAGATAACGGGGAAAGTGGAAACGGGTCTTTTCTCAGCAGCCGCAACTCTGAGCGGAACGCTCATCCCGACTAATAGCTGTCACTTTGAGTTGCGAGGGGTTTCATTTCTTGTCTCATTGGCCTCTTGATTTATTCGTTGGTGATGACCTATTTCAGCCTGTTTAGCTGTTGACGCTCGGGATGCAGCAGCTCGATGAGGAACGTGTGCAGAAAACTTGCAATGCAAAAAAACAAATGCATCCTTCAGGGTCTGATTTGATCTTTTTCCCATGTTTTTAGCAACTGCTTTGTCTGCTGCTTGTCCATAGTTTTCACTAGTGCTGAGCAACATATTGATAATATATCGATATCGTGATATAAGACTAGATATCGATAATATGGCAAGAGTTGTCTTTTCCTGTTTCTTAAGGCTTACGGTAAATTGATATTTTCTAAAATTATAAGACTGTTCCAGCTGTTCTATTGTTTGCCTTTTATAATAAGTCATTATATCCACATTCCTCAAAAACCTCACATCATACAACATCGTCTGGATATCGAGCTATTTGGTCAACAATATTGAGATATTTGACTTGTTTCCGTATCGCCCAACCCTATTTTTCACACGGTTTGTCCCAAATTACACCGGGCACCTACAGTGAAAGTCCAAAGACAGAATGCATTTCACCCCAAACCTCCCTCTGCAGTGTGAACACACTGGTGTGCAAGATTTCTACAAAAAGCCTCGACTGCCTACAGAGGAGGCTGAACACAGTCTCAGTGTGAGATTCATGGCAGAATGACAGAATTACCAAATAATTAATCATCTCTTCCCTCCATTGCTCCACATGGGTCACATTTGAGGAAAGAGCACATGGACTGTTGGTAGATTTGAGGGGGTTAAAGGAATAGATTTGATGGCTAAATAGCTTAAAGACGGAGGAAAGAAGTGTGTCGACCATGAAGGTTATGAAACCTCCAATCAGCTCGGGCAATTTAGGTAAGGAAATTAATTAGTAATGCTTTCCCCTCCCTTAACAACCTCTATTAAAGTGTCTTTGAGCAAGGCACAGAGCCCCCATCTCCTGTGAGAACAAAGCCGTTCCTGGTCAAGTTAGATTTAGCTGTGTGATGGCAGGGTGCTTGCAGAACAGCGTATACATGCTTTCAAGCTTCCCTGGATTAAAGGACAAGCATGATTGCGTAATCAGGACTCTCCATTTGATCTATACACGGGGGTAAACGAGCCCAGATGGCCCATCTGCACTGTTATTCATCGCTGGAACCCTGGCATTGTTAGTTTCTAATCTTGTGTTATTTACGGTACCTACAACCCACGTAACGACGACTTTCCACTGCACTCTGCCTGTAACAGTGTGTGTGTGTGTGCACTGTGCAGCTGAGCTTTGCTCTCACAGCGTGGAGAAAAAACACTATTTAATACGAGGCTGGCTTCTCCCGCTGCACTTTTTCAGTGTAATGTCGAGGAAGAGAGATTGTTAGTGACAGAGAGAACCCAAGTTAAATCTTCCAGAGCACAGAGGGGCCTATTCAGTATGAGAGAGAGAGAGAGAGAGAGAGAGAGAGAGAGAGAGAGAGAGAGAG